CGACGATTTGCATATTGGAATAGTTAACTCTAGTGGTGGCATTGTTGAGTTTGACAAAGAAGGACTAATAGAAAATGATATCACCAAGTGGACTGATTGTATTGTTTTGGAGCCTGTGCCGGCAGCCTGGACTACACAATGGGACGAAGCATTGTTACTTATGTCAAAGGATCTCAAGTGGAAATCCATTAACTATGACGCCATCAATATGAATTGCCTCAACTTCGTTCTGGAATTTTTTAATTATCTGGGATACAGAGATCTAAGATTTGAGAACAAGGAAGAGCTGTGCGAGCGATTAATACTGTCGAAAATGTACAAAGCAATGCAATATGTTTCGTTATACAAAACCTTGAAGAATCAAGAATATCTCCTGTTGGATAATCTTTTTTGATACATTTTCTATTTTATTTATATTGTAATTTATGCAATAAAAACATTCATATTTGTATATATTTTTCTTCTTTGTAAAAAATTCCCCAGACGAATACTCTATTTGTATCTCGGTCTTGTTAATTACAGCATGAATTCCCTTTTTGCCGAAAGAAAGTCGTATTGTAACAAGATAAATTAAAATAAGATTTTTATATTAGAAAAGTTAGGTCAGGTCTGTTCAATTTTAATTCTGGAGTTGAAACGCAGAATCATTGATGCATAATTCAATATGGATAAGATTACAATTCAATATGGGTAAAATTTTGGGGATTGTAAAGTGTTGATGTGCGTTTGAGCGACGCTTATCAACACTTTACAATCCCTGAAATCTTATTGAATTTTTTGCGTTGATGACTGCATTTTGGCTTCGGAGCTAAAATCGGACAGGCCTGAGTTATCTGATTAAATATATTGTTAATATGTGTACCTAGATATTAGCATGTAGATAAGCAGTAATTAATAAATAATTTATAAAACTATAATAACCCATAACATGTCGATATTTGATTTCATTATTTTCTCTGATATTTAAGAACGATCAAATATTTTTGCAGAAAATAAAATACAAACGAAAGGTGTGACAACGAGACAAAATGATATTTACAAGAATCAGATCATCTTTGTTAAATCGATGGTGCGATAGTCGTATCGAACAGAAACGCTTGCTGAGACAACTAATAAATACGAATAAAACCAAATTCGATGTGATTGTCGTTGGTGGCGGTCATGCTGGAACGGAAGCGTCTGCCGCTGCTGTTAGAATGGGTGCAAAGACACTGTTGGTTACTCAGAAAAAAAGTACTATAGGTGCGTATGCATAAAGATAGTAATATTGAAATCTATTGGATCGCTATATAAAATGCATTTTTGATCGAAATTAAAAAATTATATGACCTAATTTATTTTAATATGATTATGTTTGCAGGAGAGATGTCATGTAATCCGTCGTTTGGTGGAATTGGAAAAGGCCATCTGATGAGAGAAGTGGACGCTTTAGATGGAGTATGTTGTCGGATATGTGACATTTCAGGGATATACTATAGAGTCTTGAACAAGAGAAAAGGGCCAGCGGTATGGGGTCTTAGAGCTCAAATTGATAGACAATTGTACAAGAAACATCTTCAAGCAGAACTCTTTAATATGCCTCGATTGCATATTTATGAATCCTCTGTAGAAGATCTGATTTTGGAGAACGATTCTCTGTCCTGTCAAGGAGTAATTCTCAGTATGTTTTACAATTCATAATAAAATAAAGAAAAGAATTGCGATTTGAATAAAAATAACTAAAATAACTAATTCGGTGAATTTATTTTTTACATATGATGTCACATACTAATTCATTTTATTTTTATAGGAGATGGAACGAAGATATTTGGCGACGCGGTAGTTATAACCACAGGAACTTTTCTGAAAGGCCAAATAAACATCGGATTGGAAAAAAGGCCTGCAGGTAGATTGAACGATGAATCTAGTATTGGTTTAGCAAATACACTCGACAGACTTGGATTTCGGATAGGAAGATTGAAAACTGGTAAAAATAACGTTTTATACAATACGTTTCTCTAATTAATTCGCATAATATGTATTATTCATTTAATGAATATTTTTTATTTGGTATTACACAATTAATATGCCTTTATGTTAAAAATTTTAATTATAATATGTTAATTATATACATATAACTACATATTAATTTAGAATTATATGTACATATTTTTAGGCACGCCGCCAAGGTTGGAGAAAGAAAACATCGATTTTACCAAATGTACAGCATATCCACCGGACGATTCACCTATACCATTCTCGTTCATGAGCGATAACGTGTGGCTACCGCCCGACAAACAAGTACCAACGTATCTGACGTATACCAACGAAGATGTCGCAAAAATCATAAAGGATAATATGCACTGTAATTTACACGTAACGGAGGAGATAACGGGTCCACGATATTGCCCGAGTATAGAGAGTAAGATTCTGCGATTTAAGGCACTTAAACATCAGATTTGGCTGGAGCCGGAGGGTCTGGACTCACCATTGATTTATCCGAGTGGATTATCGTGTACCCTGCCGGAAGAGAAGCAAGTGGAACTCGTTAAATGTATCCCAGGATTGGAAAATGCTCGTCTAGGTAATCTCGTTTAAGTTATAATAAAATTCTTTTATTTCTATTATGATTTTATATTATAAAATCTTTTTGATTCCCTTTTTCATTTGCATCTATATGTGAATAGTCAAACCTGGTTATGGCGTTGAGTATGACTACATAGACCCCAGAGAATTGACCACCCAATTGGAGACTAAAAAGATTCCAGGGCTGTTCCTCGCTGGGCAAATAAACGGCACTACTGGTTACGAAGAAGCAGCCGCACAAGGTATCGTCGCGGGTGTTAATGCAGCTGCTAAGGTGATTATGGAAAGTATTTAAAATTAACGCTGTCCAATGGAGAAAAAATAAGTTTCATATGACCCTTCATTGAAATCACCACTTGAACCAAAATTTCTCATGAACAACTTGTTCATTTTAGTCTTTTTTTTATTTACACTGATTGTAAATCTTCATTTTATCCTGAAAAAGATAAGCTATACAACTTATCCAAAAGAATGATTTATGATTTTTTAATTTGTAAAGAATTGCAGCGCTTTATTATTTCGCGATACTGCCAATTAGGAAGCCAATTATATAGACATTTGTATGTACGCTTTTATCTCTGTGTATATCCAGGTATTTAAGAAACCGCCGCTTTTGATAAGTCGAACCGAGGGTTACATTGGTGTCCTTATCGACGATCTGACGACAGGGGGCACTACGGAGCCGTACAGAATGTTCACCAGCAGGTCAGAGTTTCGAGTGAGTCTACGTCCCGACAATGCAGATCAGAGATTAACAGAAAAGGGTTATGCGATAGGCTGTGTTTCTCGCGAGAGGATTGAGAAAACGAGAGAGGTTTTTCGTAAAATGCAGGAAGCTATACAGATACTCAAGAGCGATGTGCGGTCGACTACAAAATGGCGATGGTTATTAAAAATGCAAATTTCTAAGGACCCTGGATGCAAGTCAGCGTTCGATATGCTGTCCGTGACAGATGAGTTAGTGACATTTGCAAAACTAGCAAAATTGTTGCCGCAATTAGGACATCTCGATGGAGATCCCGGTCTGGCGAGAAGAATAGAGGTTTGCAAATTAATTGAACGTATGTTGGAAAAGACAAGCCGATTTAAAAACTTGTGCATAAACAAAATAAAAATTTTAGAAATTTCGATCAAACGTTTAAGTAAAATAGATATTTTCTAATATTTTTTTTGAAACACTGGCAATGATTAAACTTTCAGATTGAGACGAAATATGTTTTCGCTGTTGCGGAGCAGCAGGACCAAGTGAATGATATCAGGAGAAACGAGCAGATGGTTATACCTGACAATATCGACTACAATAGGTAAAAGTCAAAGCTTTATTTCGTTGTTCAGTTATTTAATTGTTGCATAGTAAAATTGGAAGAATAATAATCTAAGCAAGTTACTAATTATTTATTTCATTTCTGTTATAGTCCTAATTTGAATTTATCTAATGAAGATCGAGAAAAACTTACGAAACATCTTCCACGCACGGTACATTTTTTCAACGCTAATAATTCTGTAAAAGCATCGATTTTTTATTTGTAACACGAAAGCAAATTTCTTTTTTATTTTAAATATTTATTTGTTAACATTCTGTATTTTTTTTTACTAATGAGAAATTTTTTTGTAGATTGCAGCGGCCAATAAAATCTCAGGTGTGACACCTTCGGCCATATTGAGGCTACTTTATTATATTAGGTATCATTCCAATGAAAATGTTGCGAGAGCTCAATAATGTAAAATATTATGATAGCGAAAAATAAATAATTATATCTTTCACGATGTGTTGTCAATGGTTTTTAAAATAAGATTATCAGGAATTTATTATAATTAATTGATCACAAAGTAATATTGATAGTGATATTTTAAACAATGTATATACTTGAAGCAGAGAGAGAAATTTTAAATAACTCAATAACTCTAAAAAGAATAATTTAAAAAGTGAGAAAAGTCTGTTGATGCATTTCTTTTATTATAATATGATTACTAGCATAAATAACAATTGAAATAAAATTTATGTGTATCTCAAATATCTTCCTTGCATCGCATCTAAGGCTATACTTCAATTCTAACAATTAAATATCTCTTAATTTAATCGTTAGAATTGCAATAAAATTTCCAACTACATAATTCGTCGTTCTTGATCTTTTCCTATGTGACAAAAATATTATTAATTTTATCCACGTCAATAAAGTAATACAAAGTAAATTTGATTTGTTACAAATTTTTATGTATCGTAAATTAAGAGCCACTTACGGAAATACGTAAGCGTTTTATGACTTCAGCAGTAAACGAGTGGCCAATTACAGTCGAGGATGATCGGAAATGACGGAAATGACGACTGCCATCAACTGCCATTTTAAAACTTTCGATCGTGATTGGTTGATTTCCTACTCAAGTTATAAAGATAGAAGAGTGGGGAGGGTTCTCGCATTGAGAAGAAACGCTGATTTCCGTTAACGGTTCATTTCTTCTACGTATGGGTTGAGTGAATCATCGCGTTGGTCTGATTCTCTTGCATAAAAAATCGCGGGAGAGACGCAAGATGGTAAGGAACTTGTATTTTTTTTTATGTTTCTCGATACATCGCTCAATTTCTTTTTTCATCAATTCCATTTTTTTGTTTTCAATTCGATCTTTCCAAAAATTCACATTTGCTGGCCGCAAATGGCCGCATCCTCGACCAATCGACCACGTGGCACGTGCTCTCTCTCTCTCTCTTCGGAATATTTTATTAATTTAGTATACCCGAACCATAAATTTTTCTCTGTAGTATTTCGCATCCTTATGCTTATTTAAATGATGAAATTTATTGGTCCGTGTTTCTGATTTATCAGTGATTAATTTTAGAACCAGTCTCTGACTAATTTTTTTATGATATAATTTATATAGTGTGTTGGATGACTATGAGATCGGTAAAATGTATTTTGTTTTTTAGATTATTAAAAAATCTGTACAAGAGAGAGCATTTTTTAAGGAAATTGATATGACTTGACTTGTGGAAAGGAATGAATCATTTAAAGAAATAGCTCAAATAGCTAATATAAATCTGCCCCAAATTCCAAAGAAAACATCCACAAAGATCTGAGAGAGTTTAGAGGTAAATGTTTAATATTAACAATCAAGAGACACGGTAGTGTCTGGGCTTTAATATACTCAACCATTAATTTAATGAAAAGTAGTATTTCACACCCTTTTGTTTATTTAAATTATGAAATTGATTGGTCCGTGTTACTGATTTATTAGTGATTAATTTTGTATCCAATCTCTGACTAATTTTCATGATATAATTTATACGATATTTTGGACGACTGTGAGATCAGTAAAATTATTTTTTAGATTAAAAAATGTACACAAGAGAGCATTTTTTAAAGGAAATTGATATAACCTGACTTGTGGAAGGAATAAACCATTTAAAAAAAATGGCTAATATAAATCGGTCCTGAATTCCAAAGAAAACATCCACAAAGATCTGAGAGAGTTTTGAGGTAAGTTTTAATATTAACAATCAGGAAACAATGTCTCGGCTTTAATATACCCAAACCATGAATTTTTCTCTCGTAGTTTGCATCCTTTTGCTTATTTAAATGATGTAATTAATTGGTCTGTGTTACTGATTTATCAGTGATTAATTTTATAACTAATCTCTGACTAATTTTTCATTAATTTATATGTTGTGTTGGATGACTATGAGATCAGTAAAATGTATTTTATTTTTTAGATTAAAAAATCTGCATAAAAGAGCATTATTTATGAAATGACATAATCTGACCTATAGAAAAGAATAAACCAATTATATAAAAAAATGTCTGGAATAAACCCTTTTCTAAAAATAACCAATATAAATCGATCCCGAATTCCAAAAGAAAATATCCACAAAGATTTAACAAAGTTTCTAGGTAAGTTTAATATTAACAATCCTATATCGTGTACAATATTTATGTAGTTTTTCATGCTTAGATATTTCTTGATTACGATGATATTATGGTCCATGTTTCTGATTGTGAGTGACAGTGATCATTACCTGCCATTTAATTGATTCTTTGTTATAAATTTTTATCTTGTATGATCGTCCATGAAACACAGTTCACTGAGAAAGAAATATGATTGCAGGAAAAGAAAATAGCATGCAGAATGAAGAGATATTGAATTCATTGATTGATTCTCTCAATTTTGTTTGAAAAGAAATAGCATGAAAGGACTTTCCTGTGTTAATATGTAAGTAATATTGTTTCCGTTAGTATTAACATTTCAATACTAAATTTAGTACTATTGTAGTTTTAAAAAAATTAAATTTTTTAATTCAAGTATTAAATTTTATATTCAATATTAAATACTTTTTATCATTAAATATTAATTTATTTAAAAAGTTTAAGTTTGAAATATATTTCTAATGGAACTAAATTAATATTGTTTTAATCTTTCGAAATTTAATATTTCTTAATCATGATGATATTAATGGTCCGTGTTTCTGAGTGACAATGATTATTTATAACCATTACTGAGTTACAAATTTTTATTCTTTGTAGCAATTCTTTAATTGTATGATTTTTAACGAGGAACTATATTACAGGATAGTAAACTGCTCCAAAAATAACGTTGCCAACTCTATTTCGGTTATCGTGCACAAATATCTGCAATGCGTTTTTATATGTATCTCTTGTTTTAACGTGTATTATCAATTGTATTTTTGTCACTGAATACGGTTGGATCTATGTATGTATGTATGTATGTATGTATGTATGTATGTATGTATGTTCCTTTAACTCCTGTATGGAGTATAAAACCTCTAATGAGATTTCAATAATAAAATTTTTTCTGGAATTCGTGTAATATCCAGCTTGCAATCTGGGGGATCCATACATAATACATGTATCCACTGACTTACAGTTTAAAGGTGATATTTCATTTGTGCGCTTTTGTCATACAAATTTTTCAAGTCTGTTGATTGGCTATTTGATAGAGAGATCGGAGGACCTCTCTGTTCTGTACATATTTGTTGTACGACAAAAACACAAATGAGCACCCTAAAGCCGGTACGACAAAAACGCACAAATAAGCCGGATCTGAACGGCGCTGGTGATCAAACCTGGTGGAGTCATTTTTGACTCCTTAAGGGGGTATTCTAGTCTAGAAGAATTTTTTTATGCTATATTTACAGCCAATGACTGCGTTCAGCAGGTCATATTTTTTTGCAACTGTTGGAAATTTTCTTTGCTGAAATAGAACTATTCCTTTATATCTAAAAGTAGGTATAATCTAATTAGCGCGAAGAAACTTCCAACAGTTGCAAAATAAACATTCTACTAAACATGACCAATTGTACCAAATAGCAAGTAATCTAAAATACAAATTGTTATATATATATATATATATATTCAATGTATATGTATGTTAATTATAAAAATCATATGTAATCTACACAACAATTTCATCTACTTTTATATAGAAAAATATTAAAAATATATAATGTGTTATTGAATTATATATTATAAAAGTTATAATCGTATCTCTTTATTTTGGTCCCAATATGTGAAATATGCAATATTATTTGAGAGTTCATACACGAAATATCAATATGAATGTAAAGTGATTTCGTTCACCGTAAGGTTTGCGTTACTTGAAATCCCCCAAAAAAGAGTGAGTGCAAAATATACAACTTGTAAACAGATCTATGATAAGAATGATGTAATACAAGTTTCTTTCATTTATAAATTTTTGTTTCACTTTGTATTTCATATATAATTATGCTTGAGATAATTTTTTTTTATTTGAAAATTATCTTTTCGTGGACAATAGATCTTAATGAAGCATATGTAGAAAGAGAAGGTAGATGAATGATTTTAATAACTATGGATTGTTGCTTGAAATTCTTAAAACATTTGCACTTAAAATGAGATAAATGTACATTCAGGTATTGAAAAGAGAGAGAGAGAGAAGATGCTGAGTGCAAAAAGTGCAAGCAATGCGAATCTACCTATTATCTTGATCTCTCTCTCACACACGCATGCACAGGGTGCGATCCATTTCACGCTGCAGATGCTTTGAAGCATTCTTTGATTAGTCAATTCGTAAAATTCTTTCTTCTGATTGGTCAAGGAAGTATTTGCAGCATTAAATGAATCACATCCACACATACACACAAAGAAGGGAAACAAGGACGCAAAGTATCCAATCAAATATATTGGATTCACACTGGATCTGACGTACGTTATACGACGTTCTGCAACCAATCAGAAAGCAGAATTTTATTTCGCATCGGTGATACGAAGCAAAATCCCGTTTTCTGATTGCAGAGCATCGTACGATGCACGTCGGATCCAGGGTAAATCCAGCAATAGCGTTGTTATTTTCTCTCTTTATTTATCTCTAGGGATTGATTGTGTATCTCAAATACAATCAATGAAATTATAATTTGTTCGTTTTGTAATTTTTATCTCGTTTCAAGGTACACATCGACAGAATCGACTCTGAACAGTCTGACGCTGATTCGCCATAGGAGCAGTGTGGACAAGTCTGAACTCCAGAGCAGCACATTCGGTCCATTTTAATTGTCACATAGCGTGCTTACATTCTGTTACATTATACGGGTAAACGAAACGAGTTGATTGCTCGTCGTTGCGTATTGTCACGCTTTGTTGCGTTTGTAAATTTTGTCGGCATATAATTGGGAAATATGGTACCTCTCGGCCCATCGCCGGGACATCAAACGTCCGTAAATAATTCTTCCAGCGCGACTGCCAGCGGAACGAAAAACGCAATAGTGGTAAAGTATACAATGCATGTGTATTTGAATTTACATATGGTAAAGGGTATGTACAGGTTAAACACGCCGGTTCGGTTAATCGAGGTATGGATGTTAATTAAATGAGATAATATGTACGAGTAAACAACTAGATTATTCTTTGTTAAAGTTCTCGATGCAGATATCAGGGAAAATTTAAGATGGCTGGATTTACATTCAAGTTACGAACGAAATATATCGAACAAAATCTTGTTAAACTTGTTTCGCTGATCTGTATACATGTTACAAAAACTTCTTACAAAAACCCGAGATAAATAAAATAAAACTCCTATAGGTGTTCTGTTTATCTCTTGTAATTCTAATTCTATCAAACAAGGTTACTTTCATAGTCTTCTATTATGGTTACTTTTCTTTCTATCTTCAAGTTGATGAATCATTTTAGTATATTTTTCAGATTCATAAAAAATATTTACAATCAAATATGAGGTTTGATTTGGTTGAACACTTGAAATTTAAAGTGAAGTAGATATGTTTGATATTTGACAAAAATGAGAAAGAGCGTTAGTGCAGTCTAGTACAGGAATAAAAATAGACTTAGATGCTATGTTTACACCATGTTCTTAGTCTGCGACCTATATGGTAGGTGTTTTTGTTTAACTTATAGCATAAACAAGAATATCAATTGTATAGGTCGTGGCCTAAGTGTACAGTATAAACGTAGCCATTGACTGTTAGACTAATGTTACTTTACAATGTTGGTTTTGTATGAAAATGAAATAAATAAAGGAGATACATATTTGTATCTTTGATTTTTTATTTATAGAAATCAAATTATACACTCAAATATACCTTGGCGGGTCATACTAAAGCAGTGTCTTCCGTCAAATTTAGTCCCAATGGAGAATGGTTGGCCAGCTCAGGTAATTATGGATTCTTAGAGATTAGTGCCTCTATTTTGAAACTTAACGACAATTTATTATCATTATATTGTTGTGTACAGCTTTTTTATTATATACATATAATATACATGGACAATATAACGATACCAACATTGTCATTAAAAGTTACTTAATAAAATAGTCACATCAAGTTGCTTAAATTATTCGCAATATTGAGAAAAGTACCAATTTTGCCAGATTACTTTTTATTGCCGCTAACGGTTACAAGCAACTTGATGGCATCACTTAGGCAACAATTTCTTTTTACAAATAGATTGTGGCCACTTTTGTAGCAATATGAATATGTTATAGCATTTCTGCTCGTTTTCATAGAAAACTTATCTGCATAATTTCCTTTAAGTTCCTTAAACAAAATTATTATTTTTAAACAATTAAAACAAATTGTTAGGCTCCAACGAATAGAATTAAAACAGTCAAAATATAAAACAAGGCAAAGAAATCACACTTGATGTTCGAGCAATATAATGTTTATATGTTTATCCTAAGATAGCATTAACGCAACAATACATACAAAATACATACAGACGTTTTGACTTTTTTGACAACAGGTCCTCTTCAGTGTGATAAAACTTCTAACAAATTAACACATAAATTCTTTTTAAGATCGCATTCTTATCCAAATTCTTTATATTTCTGTTTGCGAAGAATGCAAATTTATATGTTAATTTGTTAGAAGTTTTATCACACTGAAGAGCACCTGTTGTAAAAGGGTTGAAAATGTATGTATTTTATATGTATTGTTGCGTTAATGCTATCTTAGGGTAAACATATAAACATTATATTGTTTTATATTTTAACTTTTTGAAATTACTACTATTATCCTGGTGATAACAACATGATGACAGTTGAAGGAAAACTTGGTCAAGCAACTATTTCTTATGCTAAGGAACTTGGCTTTCTGGATATAGAATACAGACGTTGCTTACGAGATTTAAGATAACTAATGATAGACTAATGATTTTTTTATATACGTTTCTAATTTTTCAGCTGCTGACAAGCTTATCAAAATTTGGGGTTCTTATGATGGAAAGTTTGAGAAGACTATAGCTGGTCATAAGCTGGGTATTTCTGATGTAGCATGGTCTAGTGATAGTAGATTGCTGGTATCAGCTTCTGATGACAAGACCTTAAAAATATGGGAATTAAGTTCTGTAAGTATTCCATTATACAGGATATTCTTTGTAATTAGAAAAAAGTATACTAAGGTAAATTAGTTTTTTTTAATATTGCATATTTTTTGATGTATTAATCTTGGAATCTCTTATTTTTTTCAGGGTAAATGTTTAAAAACGTTAAAGGGTCACAGTAATTATGTTTTCTGTTGTAATTTTAATCCACAGTCCAACCTTATAGTCTCTGGTTCTGTAAGTAACATAAATTAATTATATATATTTGTTCTCTATTAATTATATATAAAAATAGTTCTCTTAAATTTAAGTTTTTTAAAATTTAAAATATCAATTTAGAAATCAAAATATAAATTTCTATGAGAATTAAGTTATATAATTTTTCTGTACTGATTTTAAAACATTTTTCCTATCATTTTTATTTTTTTACACAAAATTAAAAATCTAATAATAAATTTTTTTATTAAGGATAATAAGCTGTGCAAAATGTTTGGTCTATTATTAAATTAAAATGTGAATGGTGACATTATGTACGCAATTACAAAAAGAATAAGATCACAAGGTCTAAAAGGTTTGTCTTTTTTTAGTTTGACGAAAGTGTGCGTATTTGGGATGTGAGAAGCGGAAAATGCCTTAAAACCTTGCCGGCACATTCAGATCCTGTAAGTGCGGTGCATTTCAATAGGGATGGCTCTTTAATCGTCTCGAGTAGTTACGATGGATTATGGTAAGTTCTGTAACATCAAATTTCCAGTTGTGATCTGTGAGAAGAACAGATCCACATGTCTTTTCTCTGGAAATTTATTTATCGTATAATATCAACACACGTGATTTGCAGTCGAATTTGGGACACCGCGTCAGGACAATGTCTAAAAACTCTGATAGACGACGATAATCCTCCAGTATCATTTGTCAAATTTTCGCCGAATGGCAAGTACATCTTAGCAGCAACACTGGACAATACATTAAAGCTGTGGGATTACAGTAAAGGGAAATGCCTGAAAACATACAGTGGGCATAAAAATGAGAAGTATTGCATTTTCGCGAACTTCTCTGTAACAGGTGGAAAGGTGCATATTGCGACGATAACTTAATCAATCTCAAATGCCTCACAATTAAGATTATGTAAAAGTGTAATGGTCTCTAAGGATTATTTTAAGTCTTTTTTTTATCCACAGTGGATTGTATCCGGCTCTGAAGATCACATGGTATACATTTGGAATTTACAAACGAAAGAGATCGTACAAAAGTTACAAGGACACACAGGTAAGCGTATGTTCATTTAAGAAATGACATTAATATTAATTAACTCGGAATAGACGTTATTCTGAATAAATTAAACCTTCAGGTCTTTATATGGAAATATGCATATACACTTGAAAAAAGAAAAATTTTCTATCTAGTGTGATTTAGATAAAAAAAATTCAATATCTATAAATGTTTTTTCTTTGAGATTATACTTTATAATTTTCTCGAATTTTTAAATAGTACTCACTAATTGTGTGCACGTGT